AAATTTTAATTTCCCATTAAGTAGTAGTAACATATCATTTGTACATCTTCATATTTTCTTCAGTTTAGTAAAACTTTTTATGTCAAACCTTACAACCAAAGTAGAATAATATCCTATTGCAATGAAGAATTAATTTTCTATTGTGGAATACATTTGACATATACTAAATGCTCAAATAAATAGAAAAGAGGTTCTATTTGTCATCTCTTTTGCTTATAATTATTAACAATATGATCCAAATCTTTCGATATTATTCAAGTTCTTCGATTCAAAAGAGAAGGAAGTCATCGAGAAAAGTAACTATGTAGAAATTACTTGAAAAAGAAGACAAATGGGAATGATCTTCAAAATATCATTAGTTATCATAAAAAATTCCAGTATTAGACAAATAATGACGTGTGTAACAGTATTCATCAACTTTTATAAAAATTCATTTATCAACGAGATGAGTAGAAATACTATTCTGGCATACTTGATTTCTTGATCGGTTTGAATAACACAATATTGTTACCTGAAATAAAGGCGAAATCGAATTTGTAGCTATCTTTTACTTCTAATTTTAATATCATCTATTGAGATAATCCATATCTAACGATTAAGTTTCCATTAAATCAAGACAATGAGATAATCCAAAAATATCTTAAACAAGCGATATCCTTGTTGTCTTATTTGATTGATATTATTCAACATAGATAGAAATATTTGCAACAATGAAAAAGAAATCTACAATGTTTGTTCTTTGAAAATCTATGTAATTTGCCAATGATTTTCAAAGTAAGAAGTTAAGTCTATCAGTAACTACTATAGTGCATTCTAATGATCCCATTTATAAACTTAGGATCTTTGAATAAAACACAAATTCTATTGACTGCAGAATTTTCATTAAATATGCATATTTTATTAAGGAAGAAAATATTTCGGTAAGGGAGAGAGAACTGAAAAAATCATAGTCAATCACAGATAGTGGGGTGAGCATGAAATAACTAAAAAATTAATTTAACAGCTTATGAGCAATCACATATAACTTTATTTTCGGTCTCACATTCATATTCACTCAAATAAACACCTTTTTCAAAAAGAATCCAATGCAAAACAGTGTGATCAATAATGATTTGGTACACAATCTGGAAATTTTATAGAAAATGGAAAAATTTATTACAACTTTCTGTCTACACAAACAAAGTCAAATTCCATCAGTAACTAATTTACACAATATAAAATTTTGACAATACTCAAAGGTCACAGCTTATAATACTTCTTCGATGGAGACAATATCAATTCTACAGCATTGTACATACAGAATACAAATCAAAGTATTACTAATAGACGCATGCGAATTGAAGAATTCATTTAAGCAAAAAAATACTGATAAAGTGCTCATATATAAAACAAACTCGTGAACTAAAATTAGGATGTCTCAAAACGAAAAATCCTATTTTCAATATGAAGAAACTACACATATTAAAACAAAGAAAAGATGAATTAAAAGAATGACATTGAAGAAGTATTTCGAGTATCTCCTACCAAGAATGAGAAGATTTAATTAAGAAGTTATTCATTGTTTTTATCAACACCAAAAGAACGAACAAATACTATAGGTATACGACTGAACAATCATTATCTGTAAGCCGTTGTTCACCCGATTCTCTGTAAATATTTAAACAATTTTTTTAATACTTGCAGAAATCCATAGTGATTTTCTATTTTTCTACAAATGAAGTTATTCGAAAACCAAGGTAAATTTTTTGGATTGTAGAAAAATATAAATTCCATATTAAAACTAGATATGTTCAAGCTATTATAATATTGATTTTCTTATAAATTAGACTTTATTTTTAATTAACGACGTATTTTTAATGATCAGTTGAACTATATCGCAAATATGGTGTGACTAGTCGAATCCATTTGTATGTATAGACGTAACATTTCAGTTACATACAAACTGTTCAAAGGCTCACAATTAATTGTGAAACTACAACAACAGTAAGATTGAAATACTTTGTTGTTGAAGTGAGTTAAATTAAATATAATAAAATTTCCTTTTATATTGATAGCCGATAGGATAGAAGGAGTTTTCGGCTACTTCTTAATTGCGGACAAAATTTCAGCCCTCACCCACACTGTCGGCATGCTAATTGGTTTGATTTTCGTCCGCAATCAAGAAGACACGGAGTTTTCTACATGATGCCTGTCGAATCAAATAGAATTTCAAACTGTTCCTACGTTATAAGAATTTCTCAGCAGGCTGTAACAAGAAAATCAAGGACGACAACTGAGAACTTCTCATTTCGGAAGGAATCCAGAATAGGAAAGGATCTATGTGTATATATTCTGAATATGATTTAAAAGAAAAAAAATGACACTGTCATTCAAACTCTAAACATTTTTCATAGGACATTTATTCATTAATAAGATAAGAATAGGCAAAAAAGTAATCGTGTGTGTGACTCTGATCTAATACAATTTAGTACGCAAGGAGAAGATATATTACATCGAATAAACTTTCGGTAGAACGGCTAACATTGCTCCAAGTTGAGCTTGTACAACTTTACGAATACTAATTGGTGAATATGACAAGTTTTGTTCAATATCATTAATCCAATTAGTGAGATAGCTTTCAAGTTCAATATGAGCATCGTAGAGTATCTTGGCATTTGATGGTGATTGACTGAGTTGCAATAAAATTGCACGATTGAACATGCTAGCCACAAGCATTTTGTAGAACATTGAAATATAAAGTGCATCCACTCGACTAGCAACTGTGGCTGGTATAAGAGTTGAGTTATCATTAATAAGTGCTTGGCGAAGGCCAGTTGCACGTGTTCTGTATAAACTCAATAGTGAGCGCGATGCACGATAGAAGGGTGACTCAAGTGTCATTATATCTTGTATATGCTCGAGCAAGTTTACAAGTATTACACTACTTTCATCATCTTTATCAAGACCTAACAATAGAATATCACGTCGCGTCATATTCGGAATAATCGTATCATTTGCGGCAGCAGGTGATTGAAAATGTGGTAATTCAGCCATAAAAAAAATACTATTGTTCAAACCAATATCTTCAAGATAGTCAAAAGTGGTACCACCTCCACTCATTATACTTGCAGGATCGCTACTTGTATACTTTTCATAATAATCATATGCCGTACGAAGGCTGATTGGTCTAAAGATACCAGGTGCAAATTGAATAATCCAAGGAGTTTCCGGTTCACCTGTTGCAAGAAACAAACCTAGTAAAGATGGCAATCGTTCTAGTTCAGGAAATATATCAGACATAAGAGGACTAATATAATAATACATTCCACCGAAACCAGAATTATGTAAGCCATAAACAAAATTTGGTCGAGCGAGCTGAATTGCATTCATCAATGCTTGTGTTTCGTTCGGTGGTTGGTTCCAGCTATATTTTTTATGCGTGATTGGAAAGGTCCATTCAACTTGCTCTTCTACAGCTGGTCGATAGTAATATTGTGCATAATGACGAATAGTAAGTGGACCTATAAACCAACCTTCATTGAGTCTTGTTCCATCCGGATCGACACATGGCAATAGATGCCATGTATATTTCATGAGTAATTCTGTATGTTTGAAAAGAGCATCAAGTAGAAAGTCTACCAACATTGAACCAATCGGTTCATTCGGATGTGGACATGCATATAGTAAGACGGACTTAGATCCATTTCCAATACTCAACATTGGAATTGCTTCGGCATTTCGAGAATATCCAACGACCTGATATCGTGTAAGTTTCGGATGTTGAAGCGCCGCAACACGTGTATGATTGAAAAGCTCATCGACCGTAAAAAATCGTGTGTAATCTGGTACACTATCAATTATGTCGTCGTTAATTGTCATACGACTGTTTACTGTAACGAAAAAAGTTTCACATGTTCATCTATAATGATTGAAAATCAAGTTGTCTCATAAAAGTAGAACTCAAACTTTCTTTTTGAGAACGTTAACTATTAAAGAGACTCACCGCCGATTGTACTTTTTACGAGTATCAATAATCTAAATGCATAGAAAATCAATTACATTTGTCAAGGCTTACACAAAATTTTTTGTTAACTTACAA